GTAAGTCGCAGTATTTTGGCTGGCGTAGAGGTTGCAGATACGGTAAATTGCAGCACTTTGGGCCGCGTAGAGGCTGCAGATACTGTGAACTGCAGCAAGTTTGCTGATATTTTCTTACTGTAAATTACAGCATATGGAGCTCATATAGAACTTGCAGATACTCAGAACTACAACATTTGGAGCTTTGTAGAGCTTGCAGCTGCTGTGCATTACAGCACGCCAACTCTGCATCTTCTTAAAGATCCAATCCATCATGGGTCACCTAGACACCTCCCTTTGTTCTCTTTTCCGAGATTCTGCCTGGGTTATGATCCGCGCAACTTTCCCTTTATGCCAACATGGTGATGACATGATGCTTCTTTTTTACCGCAAGCATGGACGGCCTCAGAAAGCGCGGGGAGTTGGGGGGCCAGCCCCCGAATTTGCAAACAAAATGATCCGCACAATCTTCCATACCTTCCTTTACTGCAAGCATGGTGATGACATGATGCTTGTTTAGCGCGAAAGCGGTTGTCCTTTCTTTCCCTTCTTTGTGTGTCTCCTCTGTGTTCTCTTTCTTCCTCGTGTTCCTCTTCTTCTTCTACGGCTCTACCCACCCCCCGGGGGAGATGCTTCCTCCTTTTCTTCTTCTTCTAACTTCTTTTTCTTCTACGGGCTCTGCGCGCTCTTTCGAGCACGCTGGGGCGAGGCCCCCAGCCCTCACAAGTTCAGTCTGGTTGGCAACCCGCGAGGCTCGGATTACCACACATTGCAAGTTCCCATTTTAAAGTTTTACCACTCAAAGGGGCCCTACATGCACCAATTCAATGGGACTCACAATGAGCATCATCCCTTCTCCAGCAGGCTGTGAGACTTCGTCCGCGTCATCCCCAGCCCCCTGCACTCCTGGCAGGTTTCCAAGTTTGACTTTGGGCCCCTGCTGCATGCCACATGACGACTGGAAATGGATTCTTTCTTTCTCTCGTCGCCCGTGTCGACTGGTTGGAAATCTGGTATTTGCAGCACCTCCAGCAGGCCCTGTGAGATGCTGGGAGGCCTGGAGAGCCTAGATACTACATTTTGTAGCTACTCTCAAATTGTCTGTTGAGTCCTGATCACATCTCACGTTAATCTCTTCTCACTGTTTGATCCCTTATCAATTTGTTGATGCCTCTCCCCACCAGAAGACCGGGGTCCAGGTCGTGAGCGCTCTTTGAGACAAAATGCTGCGTTTGCCGTGTGTTCGTCTTCTGCTCGGAATTTAAACAGTGGGGTAATTCGGTGCGTTGGCTGGCATGATTCAGAATCCCGTGGTTGAGTCGCCTATACGATACGGAACAAGTTGACAGTGGAGAAGGACACTGTGAAGTTTTTGAGAGGAGGCACTGCAGAGTCCAAGCGTTGCAGCTTCAGATTTGTTCAGGCTTTGTGGCTCCCCAGAGCGATTGCAATTTGACCTTGCGGTCCCCCGGCTTCTGTACCTCCTTGTGTAAATGATTCGTGTCATTACTATGGCGGCGACTACTTCTGCTACGACGTTGTTGTTGGCAGTCTTGCTAGTGCGGCTGCTGTTGTTGCTGGCTCTGCTGTTGCTGATGCTGATGCTGCCGCTAGCGCCAAGCCAGATCCCAGACCGCAATGCACGTGCTGTGGTGGTATTGGAGCGAGGCCAGAGTTTCAATCCCCTTTTGCTAAGCTCTAGCAGTAATCGGCCTGTGCCTTTCAAAGCGTGAGTTTGGGTAGGACATTGCCGGCTCCGGGACCCAAATACACATTCTGCGTAGTCTTAGACTTAGGGCTGCAGCCAGGGATTTTGGAAGACTCAAACTTATCAAATCCTAAGATGGATTACCAGGATTCCTGCCAAACTTTGTTAAAGGTTGGCGGATGCCTTCTTGCACCAGAAAACACCCCTTCTAAAAGAAACTCTGATTCCGAGGCCGGCCTGCATGCCTAGTGGGCTCTGGAGCAAGGCCAAATGTACAAGTAGGTCGATGAATGGGGGCTTCCGGATACCTATGAGCATTTGCGAAATCTAAAGAAATCAGCAGGTCTGTTGCCTGAGAGAAGGGATTTGGCAACCCTCCCAAAAAACATCAACAAATGCGTTGTGGGTAGGGAATTCCACGCAAAACGCAGGAAGTCAGATGGTTGTGGGCGGAATTAGGCCAGGTGGTCTTGGAACATTCCAACTGAAATCGACTGAAGAACTCCTGTGACGATTAATAAGGCAAATTCCAGAAAAGTTTAACATGTCTTGGGGACTTTTACCAAAAACCCTCCAAGCTTTGCAAAAGCCTTCCGGCAGAATCATTCTGGCCAAGCATCTTTTTCATCCTGTATCCCCCCTCTGATCTCTGCACAATTTCCTGGTCTTCTGTACCGACAGAAACAGCATACCTAAGCGGCGCATGCAGAAGTTGAACGTCACTACACTGTCTGCACATTGACTGAAGTTGCAGCAAGGCATGCTTCTGGCGTTGGTAGTGCATGTAGATGGCGACCGCGCAACAGGAAATCAGCGCAGAAACTCCCAAAGCACTTCCCATCACTACCTTGGCAAGTTGGCTTTGGCCTTAACCCAGAGCAGCACACGATTAGCTGGACAGCTGCCCCGAGCATGTGGAATCTTCGAGCTGTGCTACAGAACTGACATTTATGTTTACGACATGCGGCTAGCAAAGCGCAAGGCAGCAGGCAAAGCCAAAGCATGATGGCTGAGGTGATTTGTGCCAAATCTGGTTTTGGACAAGGGTCCATGATGGTTGTGCTCGCCGTCCTTGCCAGGTGCGAATAATTAAGCCCATCACTGCCGTGACGAAGAGCATGCCAACATGTTTGTCAAGACTGTCTCAATTGGACAGAACACGCACTGTGGGAACGCATGGGCTTGGACTTTACGCGAGGCAAGAAGGACAATGTTGGATAATTCTGTTTGCCACCTTCTGAAGAGAAGAGCTAGCTGCGCCCTGTACATGCAGGCAGGGCTCCAGGTAGGCGGCGGCTCAGTTGTCGTAGCATCGGGAGGTGCCACTTCAACGGTGGGTCCCAGCGCCACGTGCGCTTGCATCTGCCCTCAACATTCAAGTTCCTCTACATGCGCTTTCAAACAAGCTCACCTGTAAACATGTGAACGACGCGTCTTTTTCTTCCAGGCCCAGCAGTGAGATGTCTGCAGCTACAGGCACCGCGTCACGCACGAGTCTTCCAGACGACCCTGCCAGATGACGGCCAATGTGGGCTGGAGAGGCCGACAAAGAATCATCGATGAACACTCGGCAGCGTAGCGATGGAGACATATGCTTTCTTCATTTTTTAGCACCTGCTTCCGCACCTGACATCTGTGCGCGCCTCCCTGTGTCGACTTCAAGATGTTGCAAGCAGTTCTGCAGTCAGCAGTGCGCACATTGTAGATTACGTTCAGTCACCTGCTGTCGCCCCACCGCTTGATCAAAGGAGCGGCTGTGCCATGCTGTCGAACCTTTTGATGCCCTGTTGCTCAAGGAGCAGAAGACGCTCAGGCCGCCAAGGCTTGGCTTGCACCCCTCTGCCGACAAATTCGGGATGGCATGGCACAACCTGGACTCCCTACTTCTGGCAGTCTTGGTGCGTGCCTGTTGGCTTTGTTTAAGCTATTATGCTTTGATGGGGACAGAGAGATCCCCCTCAAAGCACAATAGCTCCAAACAAAGCCAACCGGCACGCACCAAGACTGCCAGAAGTAGGACACTACATTGCATGGTGGCTTTCACCAAGAAGGCTCATACTCAGAGAGAACGAAAGACCAAGAGCGGCCCCTTCTGATGCCGTGGCACGGTAAATCCAGAGCAATGCTACCACGAGTTTGCATGTGGGACAGTCAAGAATTTGTCTTGCAAGCAACGCTTCGGTCCAGAGAGCCGTCTCCTTCAAAATGTGTGGCGAGCCAAGCCCTTTGCATTGCGTGTCAAGTCCCCATCTGGAACAAACTGACTCTGGCACTGCAGGCAGGCCCGCTTTCATGCTACATGTGTCCAGCTTCTTGGGTCTCAAATGTCTCGCGCTGCATTTTCTTCATATTCTTTTTAAAGATCCAATCTGCAATCAAGTTTGCAATGTGCCTGGGATGTCAGCGCCTGACAAGCCCACAGCCTCAAGCTCCTGCATGTGCGGGAGGCAGGTAGCAAAAATCAGAAGAAACCCCCCATAATTCTCAACAACATGGCTCACGCAACTGCCATCTCAGGATATCTGCCAACCCACGCAGCCGAGAAGGGGGACTATCTTGCTGCAAGGGTTCAAACTGAAAACCTGGACTTCGGCTCCAGTGGTTTCAAACACTGTCAAATTATCAGAGGGCTTGTGACCCAGAATGCATGGGTGATTGCAACTAATTCGTCGTAAAAGTTTCAAGTTTTCTCTTGCAGAAAATGCCTGGAAACCTGGAGACCTGCTGATGTGCCATGCGTGTCCTCGTATAGAGTCAGAAGGAACTGGCTCTGGTCAGTTTTGATCTGCTCCAGGTTGTAAGTCACCGCCTCACCTGGGACACTCTTGGGTGCATGCTGCCTGGGCGGAGCCGCATGAAGCTGCCACTTCGAACCCACTTTGAGCATGCCACGCACTTGGTTGGTGCGTGTTGTAATGCGCACGATAAGGCGCAAGGCATTGCTGTCACCAGGCCATGTGATCTGAAGCTCAGGAGCCTCCGACCTGATGGCATGCATAAAACGGATCACTGGCCCTTGCTTGCTCTGCAAAATCTCATAAGCCAAGGGCGTGCTGCTGCTCAGCTGTGCTCCCGTAGTGGTCGTCTCATCTGCAGGCTGGCAGATTCCGCAGGTGAGTTTGCAGCCCAGCAGGACCTGAGGGTTGTCGCAACAGCAATCCACTCCACAAATTTCTGGTGAACACCAAGTTAGTGTGGCTTTCTGTATTTGCCGATTTTCCACACCAGCAGGTGGAATTGTGGTTCAAACGGCCGCTCAGACATTCTCCCTAGGAGATGGATGGGCGAAACTGGCGAAAACGCTTGGCAGCGCTCACGCCAGCTCCAACACCGGCAGCAGTGACACGATGTCCTGATAACTTCATAAGTTGCTTCACAGGGGAATCTTGAAATTCAGTGTTCTTTCAACCGCCTTACTTGCCAACTTCATAAAGTTGCTTTGAATCTTAAACTGAGTGGTCTGTCAACCGCCTTACTTGCCAGCTGCTGTCCTTTTGGAAGTCGAGCTCGCTTGCATTTTCAACCACGACATCAGCATCGCCGAAGAACTCCTGTGATGCGAGAAATGCGGTTGACGCAAGCTCCAGTTCAAGGAACAATCAGGATTTGGAACTGACAAATGGCGTGACGGCCAAATGGCACAAGCTTGCCATGCCTTGGCTGAGTACACGCTCTTGGTGACAACTACCTGCAGGGTTCAACAGCAGGAACGTGAGCAAGACTCCTCAAATCAAAACGTATGGAGACCATACAATGGTTTACCACAAATGGTTCCATTTTCAAGTTTGAAGCAGCCTTCATGCTGGCAGCAGCACCGGCTTGCGCTCCGATTCCCGTATCTTCCACAACCACGCAGCGCATTGGTGCAACACCCAGGTCTTGGGCGGCCAGCTTGTAAATGGCCTGGTGCCCGCTTGACATCTCATATGATCACACATGGAAGTCAACATTGCAATCAACCACACTGCTGGCTTTCCGTCTGGTCACTGGATCTGGCTTCTTGGCTGCCACTACGTCTCCAGCAAAGACTTTGATCTTGTCGGCAAACTCGGGCAGCATTGTCTCCACCACTGCGCGGACCGAGGCCTGCCAAATGCAGCAACAGCTGTCTTCTCTAAGGCACCCCCGTGCTACCTCGTTGCTGGTTGAGCACACAGCCAATTGCCAGCCCGCACTGTCTGCTTTGGAGATCAACTCCTGGCAGTATCTAAGCGTGGTCAGGACATGCCAGAATGCATCATGGCTTAGCACACTCCACTCCCCTTCGCGAGGCCGCACAACTCTTTGGCAGAAGTGCTGCTCCTTGATACCCTCTCTCAAAGGCAGCTCACCTGACTTCACCTCAAGGCTAGCGGGCAAATCCATGCAAGGCATGCAAAGCCCCTTAGTGAACACATTGCGCCGTAAAGGCAACAGAAAGTAACACATTACAGGCCCCACATTTACAGCACTCCTGGATTTCAGCTGCTTTGGCAAAGTGAAGGAACCCTTCATATGATTACCATTATATGCTGCATACTATACACATATGCGTGTGTCACACTGCATGAAATAAGCATTGAATAGGATATAGTGCATGACGGAATATCGGTAGGAATTATTTTCAAATATCTAAAACATGAGACTAGGATTCAATGGTAGGGCTGTGAGGGCGATGGACCAAAAGACTAGAGGGCGGGGGGGCGGGGGGTGAGGGGGGGGGCACAAAAAAAAAATGAGAGAGAGATGGGTGGGCAGACGCCAAAAAACAATGTTGTTGCGTCTGCACCCCCCCCATCATCTTTTTTTCTCGCTCCCCCCACCCACTTCCCAGCTTAAGTATATTTTGGGGCCCAGGACACAACAAACAGGTCTCTCAACATTAACATTTTATGGGATCCTCAATTATACCGTCAACAATATAACCTCAAGGTTAGACTCATCTCACCTAATTCCTACGCAAAGTGGGTTTGGCTCTGTCAATCTTTGTTAAAACGACTAAGTAGTTGTCATATGAATTGAAAGCTCCATAAAGATCGCACTGAATAGCATGTTTTCTAGCATTGCAGCTAAGTCTATACGACCTGGATAAATTACCTATGAGCTTAAGGATTTGTTACTTGCGCTTTAATTAAAGCCTATCTTAAATTCCGCTACGCAGAATCAATTGTGGAGGACAATGCGTGCCACATATTCTACATG